TGGTCGAAATATCAGGGGGAGCTCACGTTTTTACGTACCTGGTTCATTCTGTGAATTTCAGTAGGTTTAAACAAGATAGAAAACGTTTAGAGTAGGTGAAAACTCAGAATTGTTTTCAACCCAAGTTTGTAACATACGGGACGAACCAGGTGGTAAAACCTTGACCCGCCCTTATTGCACTCATCAACAGGCGAATGCGGATTTGTTCGATGCTCTCTCGGACCTTTTCTGGGTTGTGCTAGAGGCAGATTCGAAGCTCGTGTCAGACCTCAGGTCTAGTATGGTAGACACGATGGCTGAAAGTGGAGCTCAGACCCCAAAGGGGAGGTCCAGCAGCCGTGACCATGAGGTCTGACACGAGCCTGAAACTCGCCTAAAAACTACGATTTGGGAAGGGGTCTCTGCAAGTTCTTGTAATTGACGTGCAGGGCTAGGTCTGGCTGGTGCCCCTAAAACTTCCGGTCAGAAATTGGGAAGCCCAGCCTCGTATGTTGTGATCTCAGGCCAATCAGAAGCTCGTATCGAGCTTTGCAGAACTCGAGAACGAAATGCACACTGGCAGTCCCATTCGCGTCAAACGGGAAGGTTAACCCTGGAGAACGTGCAATCACGACGATTTGCGCGGAATGGCCGTTGCAAACGCTTGTTGCAAGAAAGCTGGCACTGGCCAGCTGGTTGGATTTTGTATGTGTGTGTGTCTCGAGAACGAAAACAAGTTTCAGCCCCAATATTGAGAAGAGATATTAACCCAGAAAACAAACCGTTCCACCTCTCAGCTTGCAAATAAGTGCTTGGTGTCTGTGGACAGCCATCCACCAGCAATTCCGTAGGCGGGATGTGTAAAGTCTGGAATCGTTTTGTGTGGTTTCAGCTGCGCGGCAACTTTGCCGAATTTGCACCGCAATTGCGAGAGAAAAACACATGGCTCCCTTCACTCCTCGTTCCCACCTTGCATTTTGCGCTCCTCGCACCCAGGGAAGCCAGGGGCAAATTGGTCTGAATCAGTGTTGCACTCCTCTTTCTTTGGTCCCCACTCAGTTTCCTATGTGGTTTTCCTATGTGACTGGCGATGTAACACAAAGCCGCCTTCCTTCTCTGTAAAATACCTCTTCCCTCAACATCCCTGCATTCCTACATTTGGATGTGTTTGTGAAGAATGTAGAGCCTTTCCTCACTACATCTTCTGTCTACCCTTCTACAATCTTTCTTTCCACCCTTCACTTCACACCACCTAGTGAGTGTACTATGCAGCAGTTCACGCAAATCTCTGGGGTAGTTGACCTTCACTGAGGCACCGAGCAAACTGGTGAGCCACAAGTTCAGCAGCGCGTCAAGCAGGCGGCGCTTCCCGCCCGTACACAGACATTCAAGTCTATGCCATCCGCGACGAAACCAACGGCCAGCAGCACGAGAAATCAACTCAACCTGGCATGTCCAACGGCTGCCAGCGCGATTCGTCGCATGCGGTTCAATTTGTTTCCTCTGGCTTGGACAGGCCTAGAATCTTACCGCTTTAGAATGCTTAAAAACGAATTTAACCGTGCTAAAATCTATCTAAAACGAACGCGCTTCTGAACCCGCAACAACCAGCCGCACAACCACCTCAACTCGGCATCCCCTCTCTGTGCTCCCCACGTTCCAAGTTCCAAGCCTTTTCTTCGCCCTCCTGCGTTACCTAGAGTCAACCAATCCCACGTTCAGCCCCTCTCTTTATCCCGAAGGATTTCCCCTCCAATCACTTCAATTTTTTTTCCTCCCCTCCCTCAGCAGGTCTACGCAGCACATCACTTCCTACCAACAACCCTTTCCATGGAAAGATCTACAACTGCTAGTTTCTAACAGAATGATTAGCTCAGTCCCACGAACTGTCATGGCCGACGTTCACCACCACAGCGAACATTATCGTGATAGAGACGCGCCGCCGCCAGTTGCGCCGCCGGCAGGCACGTTCCTCCTTAAAAACCCACCGCCAGATTTATGTAGTGCGAATGGAAATACCGCGATTAGCGCAAACCACATCGGGGGAGCGGGTTCTGTGGCGGTTCCCGCGGAGTTTGTCTGTCCGCTCTCCCTCCAAGTCATGGCGGACCCTGTCGCGACGTCATCAGGGTACGCGTTTGAGTGGGAAGCGATACAGGACTGGTTCGATAGCGGTGAGCGTGACTGTCCGGTAGACGCGCGCCCGCTCGATCACCTTCGAGTAACTTCGCTTCCCGCGCTACGAGATCGAATCGCCGACTGGTGCGATGCGTGGGGTATTCAACCCGGAGCGCGCAGCCCTGTCGTGGCCACCGATGGAGCCGATATCGGCGGTTACCCTAAAGCTATCCTTCCGCACAACACTAGCGAGAGTACCAGTGCAACTGTTATTAACAATAATAATATTAATAATCATCTTCATCAGCAGCAGCAGCAGCAGCAGGCGTACATCTCTCCAAGGCACACTTCTCCGAATCAGAAGCAGAATCGGGCCCCAAATCCACTTCAGAACCCGCCACCGCAATCGCAGCCGCAGCAGAAGCCGCAGCCGCCGCTGCAGCCTCCAAACCGCCCTATTCTTCGATCGCACTCGCAGGCTTCCGCCTTTTCCGCGGGCGGCCCTCTTCCGCTTCCGCTTTCCCTAACCGGCCTTGGCCCCGCGCGCCAAGGATCGATTCGTACAGACGACCCGGCCCTTTCCTCTCGCTTAAACGTGCCGCCGCACAATGGCTCAGCTGCAGTAGCGGCATCGGCGCCGGGATCCTCGCTCTACGTTCCCAGCGATTCCTCGTCCTCCGGCTCGAACCGCGACGGCATCGGCGAGTGCGACTCGCCTACGTGGCTCATCGCGTCGCACCATCGGTCGCGATCGGTTGCGGATATCACGCGCTTCGCCTCCCCGCCAATTCTGCTCCTCTCCCCTCCTGAGCATCGCGGCGCCGGGAAAAACAGAAACGGACGCGATCGCGATAGCCCCTCGGGCGCTACCGGCGCCGACGTCACCAGCGACGGCGGCGGCAACGGCGGTGGAAGAGGAGGGGCAGGAGGAGGCTGTGGTGGCGGGAGCGTGGGCGCGCGGGATATGCAGAAGCAGCGGCTGCGAGTCGCGCTGGACCGAATTCTGGGGGACGACGACGAGAGCGAAGATGGCGGCGTGCGGGTGAGCTCCGTCGGAGCGGGAAACGCTGTTTCCGCGGCGGAGGCGCTTCGCGCGCAAGGACCGGGGATCGGGCGCGTACAGAGGCAAGGGTCTATCGGCAACGGCGCAGATAGCAAGGGCCGTAGCCGGCAGCAACAGCAGCAGCAGCAGCAGCACGTATCGCAGTCGAATCAACAGCAAGGGAACATCGCAGCTCGCGGGAGCGCAGGGGGGTTGACTGGCGGAAGAGGCTTGGGCGGAGGCGGGGGAGGGACCGGCGGAAGTGGCGGCGGCGGCCGGGGAGGAGTTGTGCGCAGCACGAGCGCGTGTTTAGAGGATATGAGCAGGTACGACAGCGAAGGAGGGGCAGAGGGAAATGCGCAGGGGAGGAAAACAGGCGGAGCGACAGCGAGGCTGAGAAAGGGAGGCGGCCCGACGCTCAATAGCGAACGGTTGAGTTCCGCTGTAAGGGGGATGCAGAGCAGCGGGGATCAACGGCGGTGGATGCAGCAGCAGCTGCAGTCGCAGCAGGGCCAGATTTCTGGCAGCGAGGGTTCTTGTAACGAGAGGAGGAATCCCAACGCGCGGCAACAGCAGCAGCCGCAGCAGCACAGCAGAAGCAGCAGCGTCAGCACCAGCGGTTCTAACAACGGTAACGGTGGTGGTCCCCTCTCGAGCGGCTCGCTCCCGCGATCCCAATCCGTTTGCCTTAATAACGGCGGGAACAGTAACTACAGTGCGAACAGTAACAGCAGCAATAACAGTATCGACGTGGGAGGCAAATTTGAACAGCAGCAGCAGCAGCAGCAGCGTTGGTGCGCTGAACCAGTCTCCCAGCAAGTGGCGACACCGAAGCAACAGTGTGAGTGGTGCAATAACGGGTACGCACTTGATGACGGAAGGGGAGGAAGCGGAAAGCGCGGGAGCGGAAAGGGAGCTTTACGGTCCTGAGGAAGAGGAAACCCGTCCGGCATCAACGGCAGCGGCAGCTCGAGGTGGGGAAGGCGGGAGGACAACAATAGGCTGGGACGGTTTACCTGGTACAGGTACGACTAGCGCGGGCGCATCTGGCGCAGCAGCAGCAGCAGGGGCAGCAGGGACAGTGCGAGTCCGCCCCGCTGCGAATGCTGCAGGTGGTGGCAGGGGGACAAGCGGGGGCGGTGGCGGAAGGAAGAGTGGCGGCCTCCGCCGCGCCTCCTCTCTGCACTCCAGCGTGATGGGGGGAGGGGAAGGGGGAGGGGGAAGGGGAGGCGCAGGGGAGGCGGGGAATCTTCCTGGGCGCGCGCGTTCACAGCCCCGCGGGGGGGAGTTTCAAGAAATGCTGGTGGGGCTGAGAGGGGGTGGGGAAGGGGGGAACGAGGAAGGCTTTATGGGAGGAGGATGGAGAGACCTTGGGGGGGACAGAGGAGCAGGAGGAGCAGGAGGAAATACGAAGGGAGGGATTTTTCACGGTATTGGTTCTGGTTTTGGGATGCAGCGGCACGCGGAGGACGGAGAGGAGGAAGGAGAGGAGTTTTATGAGGATGAGGAGGAAGAGCTACAGTGGGAACCGCAGCAGCGACAGCAGCAGCAGCAGCAGCAGCAGGCGCAGCAGCAGCAACGCCGCATTCCCAGGTCTGTTTCGAGTGGTGCTGCGCTCACTCACCCGCTCCACTCCTCCTCCTTCTCCTCCTCCTCCACCGGCTCTCCTCTCAAGGAGAGAAAGAGCCCTTCTGTGGACATGTCACCCTCGCTCTCGCCTCCCCGCTCCTCATCTTCTTCCTCTCAAATTCCCCTTATGCAGCACCAACAGCAGCAGCGCCAGCAGCAGCAGCAGCAGCAGCAGCAGCAGCAGCAGCAGCAGCAGCAGCAGCAGCAGCAGCAACCTTCGCGGTTTCACCACATGCATCGGTCAAAATCAGTGCAATCGGATTGGGGTTCTGTGGGTGATGGAGGTCCGGCCGACCCTCAGTCCCGGCCTCAGTCGCAGGTTCGGCGGCCGAGGACGCCAACAGGTTCGGAAGGCAGGGCGGTTGACAAGCTGGGCCAGTCCCAAAGCACTGTACTTCGATCCGGGAAACCAGGCTCGGGGATCATTGCAGGCTCGGGAACGGCTGTGACAGGGCAAGGGCCTGTAACAGGAAGGACGGGGCAAGGCGAAGGGCAAGGGCCACGGCAAGGGAAGGGACAGGGACCGGAACAGGGGCTCCAGAGAACATTCTCTGTGCCTGTGCGTGCAGAATCAGAGGGTGCAGGCGCAGGGGGGAGAGGGGCAGGGGGGGCAGGAGGGGCGGGAGGGGCGGGAGGCGTGGGGCTGGTTGCACGGCCAGGGACAGCCTCTTCTGGCAGCACAACTAGTCTGAGGGCCGACGGGGGCGCGCTGGGGAGTGCGGTGAGAGCAGGCGCAGGTTTGATGAGGGAAGGGAGTGGTGGGGAGAAAGGGCGCGTGGCGGGTCACGGGGGGAGAGGAGGAGGGGGAGGGAGTGGAGGGAGGATGGTGAGGGTGGGGAGTGGGGACGAGGGAAGTGAGTGGTCTGATTCGTCTGGCCAGTGGAGGGTTGGAGGGGGGGGAGGGGGTGGTGGAGGGGGGTCTGGCCAGCTGCCGTTGGTCCCTGGGCGGAAGCAGCAGCAGCAGCAGCAGCAGCAGCCGCAGCCGCAGCAGCAGCCGCAGCGGGCACAGGGGCAGCAGCTGCAGCGAGGCCTTAGCCCTAAGAAGCAGCAACCGCAGCAGCAGGTGGAAGCAGCAGCAGCAGCAGCAGCAGCAGTGGCAGCAGCGGCAGCAGCGGCAGCAGCGGCAGCAGCGGCAGAGCAGCAGCAAGGGTCTGACTACGACCCCACAGACGTATGGTCTCTTCTTGCGCACATGTCCAAGGGGCCCATCTCGCACCGCCGCAGCGCCGCTGCTGACCTGCGCGCGTTGCTCAAGGGCAGCGCGCACATCAAGGCCGAGTTCCTCGCAACTGGCGCCGTGGACTTTCTGGTAGACGCGCTGCAGCAGGCTGACGACGGGAAGGTGAGGGAGCACGCGGTTACCGCGCTGTTCAACATGGCGTTACACCCGGGCGCGACGCCGGTGCTGGTGGCGTGCGGGGGGATCGAGGCGGTCGTGGGGGTGCTGAGAAGGGGCGGGTCGATGGGCGCGCGGGAAAACGCCGCTGCTACGCTCTTCAACCTGTCGATCGCCGACGGGGCAGCGGAGAAGGTGCGGGCAGCAGGCGCGGTGCCTCTGCTGGTAGACCTCCTTCGCACGGGCAGCACGAGAGGGAGGAAAGACGCGGCATTGGTTTTGTTTAACCTGTCAAGGGATGAGGATGGGGCGAGGGAGCTAGTGGCAGCAGGAGCAGTGGAGGTTCTGGTAGATCTGTTGACGTTCCGAGAGGTGGGGCTCGTGGAAAAGGTGATGGCGGTGACGGCGAATGTGTGCCGGAGAGAGGAGGGGTGTAAGCGGCTGCTGGCCGTGGGGCAACCGCGCTGCTGCGGCAGTGCTGCAGGTGGTGGTGCCAGTGGTGGGGATTTTGGCGGTAGCCGCAAGAGCAGCGGGAGCGGCAGCGGCAGCGGCAGCAATGGAGGCAGCCCGGAGTGCCATGGAGTGGACGCAATCTCTGCACTGGTGGAGCTTGTAGAGGAGGATGAGTCGCAGCGCACACGGGAGGATGCAGTGATGACCCTGCTCATGCTCATGCACACGAGCCAGGATTTAGATGCACAGAACGGCACGGAGCACTGCCACAGCAGCTGTCGGAACAGCTGCGAAAGCAGCGACAGCAGCAACAGCAACAGCAGCAGCAACAGCAGCAACAACAGCAGTGGCGGAACCGGTAATGGTGGGAGCTGCAGCTGCAGTGTGCATCAGGGCAGCATGAGTGCGAGTTGTGCTGCTAGGATGGTAGAAGAAGGGGTGATAGGGGCGTTGCAGCAAGCAATGGATGGGCCAGCGTTCTCTGCTCGTGCTTGTGTCAAGGCACGCGCTCTTCTTGACATCCTCACGGGCTCGCTTGCCAAACCACCTTGCCTTTCTCCCTCCTCCCCTCTCAATCCAACTATGGTTATTGGACGATAGGAATGCTGTGAGTAAATAATTGAATTTCTCTGGTCTAATTGTTTTCCTAGTAAGGGCATTGTTTTTGCAAGCTGAAGTGCCCTCTGTTTGTGGCACATGCGCAATTGCACTAATGAGGCAGTGTAGAGAGACATGCAATATGGACGAAGAGAAACGATGAAATATGGACGAAGAAAACTAATTTGGCAATGCTGGTTTTCTAATTCTGAATATTCCTAACTGTCAAGATACTTAGGCTAGGATGTGGATTAGGTCAAAGGGGGGAGTACAAGAATGTAGAGAGAAATTGTGTACCCCCTAATGTTCAACCCCATATAGCCTATCTAAACTATACATGCATATAATTGGCAACCCACTAGAGGCTATAACATTTGACACACCCCCATAGCCTAAGTGGGGAATGCCAAGCAACAAAAAACACAACCTAAGGTCACAAGACCAGTCACAAGCAAGAGAGAAAACACAGCTCAGGGTGGATCACAACGTCACCACACAGTCTGAGCACAAACAAGGGGCCACAAGGCCAGTTCAAGAGTGTACAAGCTAATATATATGTGATACAAGCAAACAAGAGGCAGGTAAACACTACTGCAGTCTACTAGACCCAGTCTCAACAAGGCCTAACTGCAGACAAAACCGACGGTGGTCACAAGGCTGAAGAGCCTTGGTGAAGATGTCTGCAGTGTTGGCCTCGGAGGCCACGAAGTCCAGACGAGCCTGTCCGCGTCTCTGCAACTCTCGAAGGAGGAAGTACCTGACGTCGATGTGCTTCACTCTGCTCTCCAGTCGAGGCTCTCGACACAGGAGAATCATCGCCTTGTTGTCAGCAAACAAGGTCGGTGCAGAGCTCGGCCGCTCACCAAGGTCAGTGAGCAAGAAGGTCAACCAACGTAGCTCCTGTGCAGCAAGGGCTCCAGCGTAGATCTCGGCCTCTGCGGTAGAAGTCGCAACAGAGGAAGACCGAGTAGACCTCCACGAAACAGCTCCAGAGCCTAGGCTGAAACAGTAACCCTGCGTAGACCTCTGAGTCTCAACGTCGTCGGCGTAGGAGGAGTCGCAGTGACCGGTGAGTACAACTGGCTGTGTCCCTCCAAGTACAAGCCCCATGTCCGATGTCGCGCCGAGGTACTTCGCCACCCTCTTAGCCGCCGTCCAGTGAACAGGACGGTGTCTCCCAGTCGCAACAAAGCGAGACAGGATGCTAAGAGGGAAGGCGAGGTCCGGACGAGTGCACCTCATCAGGTACATGAGGCAGCCCACCAGCTCTGCGTAGGGACCACTGGGCTCGAACGGCTCGTCAGGAAAAGGCCCAGTGAGTCTGTGGTCTACAGCAAGAGGGGTGGGTGCAGGAGTGGAGTGCTGAAGCCCGAATCGCTGAAGGACCTGCTGCACCATGTGTGACTGAGTCAGAGTGATGGTGCGAGCGGCTCTGTCCCTGGAGATCTGCAGGCCAAGGTAGCGGCGCAGTTCCCCAAGGTCAGTGCAGGTGTGTCTCTTCTGCAGTTCGGACTTCACCTCCGCCAGTGCAACTGTGTCGGCTGTGGCAAAAACCAAGTCGTCAACGTAGACCAGAACGAAGAAAGGTGTGCGCCCACGACGAACAAACAGCGACGGGTCGGCGGAAGACGGCTCAAACCCGAGGGTAGAGAGTAGAGCGGAGAGTGTCGTGCCACTCACGGGGTGCCTGGCAGAGACCGTAGACCGGTCGTCTGAGGCTCCACTGGGTCCCAGGCGGGAAGGTGCCAGTGAAGCCCGGAGGACGACGCAGCCAGATCTCCTCGTGTAGGCTGCCCTGCAGGAAGGCGGTGGAGAAGTCGAGGGAGTGTAGCTCGTAGTCCCTCTGTGCCGCTACGTGAAGTAACACCCGAAGAGTGGTCATCTTCGGGGTGGGCGCGAAGGTCTGAAAGAAGTCAACCCCCTCGCGCTGACTGAACCCTCTAGCCACGTAGCGTGCCTTGAAGACTGGGGGAGATCCCGGCGGCCGCTTCACCTTGAAGATCCACATGCCGTCAACTATGTTCGCCCCTGGGGGGGGAACCTCGTCAACGTAAGTGCCTGTGGACCTGTAGGAGGCCATCTCTGCGTCCATGGCAGCTCTCCACTGAGAGGCCCAAGGCCCTGACACTGCCTCAGCGTAAGTGCGAGGAGTAGGAATGTCAGGAGCGTCGGGGTCTCCCTCAGGAGCGAGGAGCATGGCACAGAGATGAGGCGAAGCAGCTGCCAGGAACTCTAGCTCAAACTGTCTGTCCTCTAGGACGTCACAGCCAAGGGCAGACTCACCCCCGACGGACAGAGGACGGACAGGAGGAGCGGCCACAACACGAGTGGCGTAGTCAAGGCGACGCGTAGCAGTAAAGTCAGTAACAGCGGCAGTGAGGACCGCGACGGAGGAAGGAGAGGCACGAGGGTCTGTAACAAGAGAGGCGAGAACACGAGAGAGAGTGGGGCGGTACGTGCGGTAGTAGTCAGAGACCGGAGTGGACAGGGAGGCAGTGAGGGACGACTCAGGAGGAAGAACAGACTGAGGAGGACGAGGAGGACTAGAACGAAACAACACGGTACGGAGGTCAGTGACAGGTGACGAGGGACGAGCACGAGGAGGACGAGAGGTCCAAGTGTGGGTGAGAGGAGGAGGAGACTGAGAACGAGGGAACACAGCCGGAGCTGAGTCCGGAGGAGGAAACGTAGGACCGAACACAGGAGGAGAGGAGGGGAGACCAAGGGCCCGAAGGCCAGAAACAGGGGCCGGAGGCTGCTCCGGCTGCTGTGGCTGCTGCTGCTGCTGCAACTCCAACCTCTCACGCTCCAAACGCTGCTGGACCTCCGACCTCTCACGCTCCAAACGCTGCTGGACCTCCGACCTCTCACGCTCCAAACGCTGCTGCTCCTCACGCTCAAGACGAAGAAGGGCCTGGTAACGAGTCGGGTAGGGGTGAGGAGGAGGAGTGGTGTCAGGAGACGCAGCAGAAGAACCTCCTCCGTCCTCGACAGTACCCGGCTGAGCACCCCCAGAGCGAGTACCTCCCGCGGCAGCACGACCAGCACCTGTAGGAGGTGTACCCGCACCCCCAGTCGTGGTGCCTACAGCGGCACCAGCACCAGCCCCAGACTCTCCAGCTCCAGAAACACCACCAGCTCCAGCACCGCCACCAGCTCCAGTACCCTCGGAACGGGCAGCTGCGGCAGGTGCACGCTCAGCGCCAACGCCAACACCCCCAGAACGGGCGGCTCCTGTAGGTGCACGAACAGCTCCAACGCCAGCACCCCCAGAGCGAGCACCGCCAGAGCCCTCACCTCGAGCACCAACACCCTCAGAGTCCGCAGTGGCCGGCAGAGGAAGCGCTGACGGCTGCTGCGGAGGCTGTGAGGATGACTGAGGGGAGGGAAGAGAGACCTGGGGGGGTATCGAGGGTGGGGGAGTAGCGTGGGACACACCAGACGGAGCGGGAACAGGAGGGGGTACCTGAGGAGCAGGGGCGGGAGGAGGAAGAGCTGGAGCCAAGAAGAGGGGAGGGGGGGGGACCGGGAGACCTCGACAGGGGTACCTGACGTAGTAGGGGACAGACTCGTCGAAACGGACGTCACGAGAGTCAAAGAACCGGTGGGAGGGAGGGTGGTAAAAGGTGAAGTCAGAGGAGTCCTCTGGGAAACCAAGGAAGACACAGGGGACGGCGCGAGGTGAGATCTTGTCCGCAGAGGTGTCGCGGACAAGAGCCAAGCACCCCCAGACACTAAACCTCGACGCAACACCAGGGGACCCTGTCCAAAGACTGGTCGGTGAAGCCCCTGGCCGTGAGACGCGAGGCCAGAGGTTCAACTGGTGAGCGGCGTACCGAGCCGCGTAGGGCCACAGAAAATGGGGCGCGCGGGCGTGGATCATGGAGGTGCGGGCAATCTCCATGACCAGGCCTAGGCGGCGCTCAGCAACCCCATTCTGCTGTGGAGAGTCTGGAAGAGTCCAGGACTGGGTGATGCCCTGCTCAGCACAGAATCTAGCGAGAATGCCGGAGCGAAACTCACCCCCACGGTCGGAGTGGAGACAACTGACACGACGACCACGAGTGCCCTCAATGGCGAGGAGCCACCGGATCAGCGTAGAAGTCACGTCGGACTTCTTCGCCAAAGGGAACACGGTGGTGTACCGAGAGTAGTCGTCAACGACCACCAGAAAGAAACTCTCCCGCTCAGGGCCAAGGCGGGGAGCGGGGCCCCAGACGTCTAAGTGGAGAGTCTGAAAGGGCTCGGTGGCTGGACGAAGGGAGGAGGAGTGAGGGGTGGTACGCAGCCGACCCTGGACACAAGGACCGCACGGAGGAGCTGGGGACGGCGGGAGTGGCGGGAGGACTCGGGGGAGGCCTAAGACAAGACGCTGACTGGACATAGCGCGGAGACGAGGGAGGGACGGGTGCCCCATCCGGTGGTGCCACAGAACGGTGGGGTGAGCAAGCGACCGGCAGGAGCACGACGCAGCAACTGGACCTGACGTGGGGACCTGACCAGACGCAGCAACTAGACCGGACACAGCAACCTGACTGGACCTGGCGACCTGGTGGGACGGAGGAACCTGACGAGGGTCGGTGTGGAGGGTGTAGAGACCGGAGCCCGGCTCCTGGCGAAAAGTGGCCAAGGGGGCGTACGTGTCACCGTCCACACAGACCGCGGTGTCACCAGAAGGCTCAACCCAGACCCCGACGTGCTGTCAGGCCAGGGGGCCCACACCAACCAGGTTCCTAGAGAACGTAGGAACGTGGAGGCCAGTCAGGGAACCGGAAGGAGCAGCTGGGCACGGGAGCGTAGTGGCGTGAGTCGCAATGACCGGTCCCGAAGAGGGATCGGCCAGTGCTATGGAGACTGGCGCCGGTAGTGGAGAGAGAGTCGTGCGGTCGCGAAAGAAGCACTGCGTCGCTCCTGAGTCCAGTGTGAAAGAGAGAGAGGCGTCCGCCGAGGGAGTACCTGTACTAGTAGCTAAGCAAGATCCTACACTAGCACCTACTCTAGCA